AGGTTTGGTCCCAAGTCAGGGCAAGTGTGAGAGGCAGCCAATCAATGTTTCTCTCCCTCTTTCTCCCAAACTTACCCTCTCTCTAAAAATAAATAAATAAAATATTTTTTAAAAAGAATATGTCTATACACAAAAATCTGCACACAAATGTTCAAATCAGCATTATTCACAGTAAGGAAAAGAAATCCAAAGATCCACTGACTCATGAATGGACAAACAAAATGTGGTACACAGGTATCCCCCCTGACTTTTCAAAAGTTTGAGTTGCATGCTCCCTTTGGCAGCACATATATAAAATTGGAAGGATATAAAGAAGATTAGCATGGCCCCTGCACAAGGATGACATGCAAATTCATGAAGCGTTCCACAGTTTATTTCAGGAAAAAAAGTTCAAGTTATGCTACTTCACTTTACAAGAGAGCTACATTAGTAACTATTCTCACTAACCAAAAGAAATCCAAACAGGATTTTCATTTACAAAAAAGGGCAAAAAGTGAAAATAGCATTCAGTATCTGTTTTGCTGTGAGCCGTTGTAGAAGCAGTGCACACTAAGCAGCATGACAGGTTCCTCCAAAATCCTTCCTGAGGCACTCACTACCTTCAGCATCTCAGCATCAAGCCACCATAGCTTTGAACTGTGTGAGTGAGCATCTATGCTTTATCTTAATTTATTTTATGCATCTGTTAGCAAAATGTGTCCTAAGATATCAGAAATGTCTAAGAACTCATAAGGGTGTTATGCTTGGCATAAAACTGGACACAAGCATTTCAATGGCGATAAACAAAATAAACACACTGTGAGTTAAATTTGCCTGTGTCCACCATTCGTATTATTTACACAAAGAAAGAATCTTGAAAGCTGCCGAAGTTACTATTGCTTTTGCTAGTAGTAAAGTGATCTAAGTCAGCATCTGGGAATGAATAAAATGGAAAGTCTACTGCTTGAGTGGATTGATAGATATACAAAACATGGTCCTCCATTATCTTTTTTTTTAATCCTTGCCCAAGGATACATTTATTGATTTGAGAGAGAAAGACAGAGAGAAAGAGAGAGAGAGAGAGAAAGAGAAACACTGATCTATTGACTCTTGTATACACTCTGACCAGGGACAGAACCTACTATCTTTGAATATCAGGAGGATGCTCCAACCATTGGCCATGCCATTATCTTATACTTAAGGAGAAATCAATCTTTTTAATAGGTTAAACTACACTATGCATTTCTACTTTATATAGGCTATATATTTATCATATCACTCCTGCTTTTACTATATGTTAGTGTTACTTTAGGTTTTATGTATTAGGTTATTTTGGAGATCTGGGAATGCCAAAAAAAACTATCCATATAAGTAAATGGTAATTGCTTCTTTGCTTTCCACCATTTCAGCTTATGAAAGGTTTCATAGGCACAATCTACTACTGGATAGCAGGGAAACCTGCATCTATCTATACAATGGAATATTACTCAGCCACAAAAAAAAATGAACTACCAATATGTTTACAACATAAATGAACCTAGAAAACAAAATGCTAAGTTAAAAAAAACAGACATAAAAAGCCATATACTATATGATTCCATCTATATGAACTGTCTACAAAAGGCAGTTTGAGAGAAGAGAAGAGAAGAGAAGAGAAGAGAAGAGAAGAGAAGAGAAGAGAAGAGAAGAGAAGAGAAGAGAAGAGAAGAGAAGAGAAGCAAGAAGAAGAAACCAACAAGAAGAGAAAGTAGATCAGTAGTTGCCAGCAGCTGGAGGGAAGAGGGGAGTTGGAATTAACCACTATTCCATATGGGGTTTTATTCTGGGTGATGGAAAAGTTCTGGAACTGATAATGGTTGGCCAACATTGTGAACATACTAAAAACCACTATATTCTACACTTTAAAACAATGATTTTTATGTTATATAAATTGTATGTCAACAAAAATATTTTTAAATCATAAACAGATAAAATTGAACTGGTCAGACTGAAATATGGGGTAGATAAGTAATCCAAAGCCTGTCCCTATAAGCAGATAACAAAACGTAGTTCACACATAGTAAGCAAAAATAAGATATATCATTGAAAACATAACCAAGAAAAGACACTGAAGACAAGACACCACTATCCAGAATTACATTCCCATAGTAAACAGCTAAAACAATGGACAAAATGTAGTAACTATTTTCAAATATTGGGCAGTGGGCTCCACAGGACTTGACTTCAAAAAATGACACAAATAGACAAATCCTACCATACTCCAAACTTTCTGCCTGAATATGATTTCCAAACTGCATCCCTGGGAAAGGAACCCAGCAAGTGCCCCACAATCTTGGTCACTGAAAAAACAACCATAGTAGTTTGGGTAAGCCAGATGAACAGATTTTCTGAAGACTTCTAGAAAGAAGGACGTTACATAGAGAATCACTTTCTGAAATATGGATTTGAGTCCCCTTAAATCTTTAGCTGAATTCCAATCTGTAAATGCATAGCAAAAGCATAGCCCAGTCTTTGAAAGCTGGGCTAAAAACAGGTTCTGATGAAAGAACAATTAGGAAGATATATAGAAAAAGCAATTCTCAAAGCTCAGACAGGGCCAGAACTTATTCAAATTTGCTCTAATCAGAAGGAAGAAACTTCACTGAATACACCAGACATTCAGTAAATACCCTCAAAAACCAGTTTGGAAGTAGAGGATAAATTAGGGCTACAATAAAGACTACTCTAAGTTAGTACTTCCATGGTAGCAGGAGAGGAGTGCAGGCCCCAGTGAGCACTGAGCAGCCCCATAGTTGCTGCCTGTCTGGTTAGTTATCCCACTCTAGAAGGAGCCACAGCTGCTGCAGCTGACCCCACTCACCCTCATCACCACAACTATGACCCAGCGCTGCCCCTACTCTCAGCGCTGCCAAATACCAAGTCCAGCGCCACGGGGCAGCAATGCAAAAAGAGGTGTCCTGGGCAGCCTCACAACGACAGCACCTGCTGACATGGAGAAGAAGATCATCACAACTAAGGTTCTACGAACAGTGAAATGGTTGTAAAGAATAACGCCAAAAAGTATTGGGTTGACTAAAAACTTTGTTTAGCTTTTTCCATAAGATAGTTCCAGTCTTTAACTTCATCTCAAACAATTTTGTTAGACTGCTCTGTGACAGCTATCATATTAGTGTGCATTTTTAAAAACTTATCAAAATTGTTGAACTTTTGTGCAACCATTTTAATACTGAAGATTCAAGAAGATATACAATATTTTCAGCGTATCATGCTTTATTTTAAGGAAGGTAAAAATGCAAAGAAAAGATTTGTGCAGTGTGTGGAGAAGGTACTGTGACTGATCAAACATTTTAAAAGTGGTTTGCAAAGCTTCTTGATACTACTGACCTTTTTGGCCAAATAATCCTTTGCTGTGGGGGCCATCTTGTGCATTGGAAGATGTTTAGCAGCACCCTGGCCTCTACCTCCTAGAAACCAATAGCAAGAGATAGCCAACATACTCAAAATATCCAAATCAATAAAGGTATTGGTAAAAATGAAAAATGTGTCTTTTTAGTTTACAGGAAAAAAGTTATGAACTTTTTGGCCAACCCAGTACCTTCTCAGTGTAGGCAATGGAGAGACTATGATGTCTGATGCTGGAGAAAAAGGTGGAGAGGCAGCAAATGTTACAGGCCATGGTGGACGTTAACAGTGCAAGGCAATAAATATGCAGCAGACTTGAACCATTATAGACACTATCCACATCGTAGGGGTCCTCCACACAATTACCAGCAGAATTATCGGGACAGTGAGAGTGGAGAAAAGACTGAGGGATCAAAGAGTGCTCCTGAAGGCGAGCCAGGCCCAACAGTGCCAGTCCTACCACAGATGACAATCCCTACCTTTCTACATGCAGAGATTCTAGGGGGGACAACCACAGTATCCCAACCCTCTGGGTGCAAGAAGTGATTGAGAGTGCTGACAACCAAGGGTACAGGAGACAGACTATGTATGTATTGGGGCTATACACCACAATTTGGCAGGGGCCCTCCTTGCCAAAGACAGCTAGAGAGGATGGCAATGAAGTTAAGGGCCACCTCAATGTTGGTACTGAAGCAACTTCAATTACCAATGCAGACTCCCAGTAAACCCTAAACCAGATGGCAGAGACGGAAGCAGCTGATCCACCAACTGGGAATTCATCTGCTCAGAGCTGACCAGGATGGAGTAAATGCAAGTTTATCACTGGCTCTCTACCATCATCTACATTAGTCATCCAACAAGAAAAAAAATGAATATGAAATTCCAGCAGTAAGAAATAAGCAAAAGATTGGAGCTGAAGAACTTAAGTACTTGCTTTTTGCCCACAGGCCAGATAACTAGAAGTAGCTGCATCATCTGTGCAGCACGGAAATTTGTATTATTTTTAGCTAAAGACATAGCTTTAATGATAACAAAAGTGTTTCGTAAAAAAGCCTGATTTTTCTCATTACACCTTTAAAGGTTTTTGAATTGTTTCATATCTGCTCAGGTTGAGATTTTTAAGAACCTCATTTTTAACTTATAATGAAAGTTTACAGCCTTATTTTTTCAAAAAAAAGTCAACAAACTGCAAGCACCTGTTAATAAAGGTCCTAACTACTTGGAGGGGAAAAAGACTACTTTAGACTTGCCCTAACAGCATTTAAAAATATATCTCAGAAGTAATTTAACTGCCTACCAGAAGGAACCCAACTTTTAAAAAATAAACACAACAAAAGCCAACATGAAAAAGTGTAAAATTCAGTGTTCACATGCCAATAAAAAAAATTAAAAATTCAATGTCTGCAGTAAAAATTTCACTGGATAAAATTACAGTAAGTTAGAAACTGCTGAAGATAAGGTCACTGAACATGAAGCCATGGCAAAATGAAGCAAATAGCTAAAAAACAAAAAATAACATGAACAGAGGTCTAGGGACCTGTAGAATAATATGAAATACGAGTAATTGGCATCTCAGAAAGATATTTGGGGGAAAGCACATAGAAAAATATATCTGAAGAGTGCTCGTTTCAGCAGCACATAAACTAAAATTGGAACGATACAGAGAAGATTAGCATGGCCCCTGCGCAAGAAAAATATATCTGAAGAAATAATGGCCAAAAATTGCCCAAATTTTATGAAAGTTATAAATTCACAAAGCAGGAAGTACAGTGAATGCCAAAGACAGTAACTTATATATTAAAAAAAACACCAAAAAGTCACATTATAACCAAATTGCTAAAAACCACTGATAAAAAAAAATCTTAAAAGTAACAAGAGGGTGCCCTGGCTGGTGTGACTCAGTGGATTGAGTGCCGGCCTGTGATTCCCAGTAAGGGCACATGCCTGGGTTGCACACCAGGTCCCCCGGAGGGGACACTCAAGAGGCAACCACACACTGATATTTCTATCCCTCTCTTTCTCCCTTGCCTTCCCCTCCCCAAAAATAAATAAATAAAATATTGAAAAAAAAAGTAACAAGAGGGGAAAAAGATGCTTATATATGAATACACAAAGATAAGAATGACCGAAGAATTCTAGTCAGAAACCATACAAGCCAGAATACAACAAATGACATCTTTTATGTAAAGTGCTGAAAGGAAATTGCCCTGGCCAATGTGGCTCAGTTGTTTGGAGCATTGTCCTGTAGACTAAAAGGTTATAGGGTTTGATTCTGGGTCAGGACACATACCCAGGTTGCAGGTTCAATCCCCGACGGGATGGGGGCACATACAAGAAGGCAACCAATCAATGTTTCTGTCTCTTTCTCGCTCTCTCTCTCTCTGCCCCCTACTCCTTTCCCCTCTCTCTAAAAGCGATGAAACAAATGTCCTCAGGTGAGGATTAAAAGAAAGTGCTGCACTGGCTGATATAGCTCAGTGGATTGAGGGTGAGCCTTTGAACCAAAGTGTTGCCGGTTCAATGCCCAGTCAGGGACATGCCTGGGTTGTGGGACAGGTCCCCAGTAGGGGGCATGCAAGAGGGAACCACACATTGATGTTTCTCTCCTTCTCTTTCTCCCTCCCTTCCCCTCTAACAATGAATAAATAAAATCTCTTTTTGAAAAGTGCTGATATAATCATCAACCAAGAATTCTGTATCCAAAGAAAATATTCCTGAAAAATGAAGCTGAAATAAACTTTTTTGGATAATTATAGCTGAGACAGTTCATTACCAAATTCATGAACTAAGTGAAATGACATTCTTCAAGCAAAAAGAAAATGATACCAAAAGAAAACTCGAACATATACGGAGCAGTGAAAGGTGAAGGAAAAAAAATATGGAGCAGAAATCAGTACATAGAAAAAAAGAGTGAAACTAGATTAAACCAAAGCTCGTTCTTCAAACAAAAGAATCTATTAAATTGGTAAACAACTTCTAGCTAGACTAATAAAGAAGAAAGGGGGAAAACCACTTAACATGAAGATGACACCAAAACATCTCAAAGACACTGAATAAGGGAATAGTATAACTTATGTAAATAAATTTAACATCTTGAACAACAAAATCTACCCCAAAGTGAAAAAATAAAGACTATGAATTATAACTATTAAAGAAATTGAGTTCATAAGATAAATACTGCCTACAAAGAAAATTCTGAGCCTAGATGGCTTCACTGACAAATCCCATCAAACATCTAAGAAAGAAAAAAGTATCACTTCTACATAAATTCTGTAAGAAGATAAATAAGTAGTGAATACTTCACAAATTAACAACATTCTTAATGGTGAAAGACGGAATGTTTTGATCAGAAACAAGCAAGAATGCCCACTCTCACCCCTTCTATTCAACACTCTACTAGACATTCTAGCCAACGCAGTAAGAATGAAAGAGAAAGGGGACCCAGTTTGGAAAGGTAAAAGCAAAACTCTCCTTAACTCAGATTACATGATCATCTGCATAGAAAATCCTGTGGAATCTATAAAAAGCAACTTGAAGTAACAAGTAAGATTTCAGGATATAAAATCAACATTTTTATATGTTGTAGCAATGACCAACTGAAATCCAAAAAGCAATACCATTTACAATAACATCAAAAATCTGAATTACTTAGAAATAAATGTGAGTAAAGATGTATATTTGTACACGGAAAACTATAAAACATTACTGAGAAAAATTAATGAAGAGCTATCCCATGTTCATGGACAAGAAGATTCAAAGGTCTTAAAATGTCAATCCTCTCAAATTAATCTCTAGATTCAATACAGCCCCAATCAAAATATCAGCAAGCATTTTTTGGATATTGACAATCTGATTCTAAAATGTATATAGAAATGCTACAAACATAAAATATTCAAAACAATTCAGGAAGGAACCATATACATTATTTCAACTTCTAAAGCTGTAATAGTCAAGGTGATGTAAAGTGCTTTATTAAAAGATTAAATGTGTACATGGAAAATATATCAACGAAACAGTGGGGAGAACAGAAACAGACTTGTATATATTACAGTCAACTGATTTTCAATAAAAGTACCAAAGCAAATCACTGGTAAAAAGAATAGTCTCTTCAACAAATGGTTTCTAGAACAATTTAATATCCACATAAAATTTCAATTCAAAATAAGTCAAACTGAAATGTAAAATGCAAAATTATAAAAATTAGGAGAAAGTCTTAATGACCTAAGTTTGGCAAAAACTGCTTAAATATGACACAAAAAGCAAGAAATATAAAAGACAAAATTCATAAACTGGACTTAACAAAAATTAAAAACATAACTCTCGCCCTGGCTGGTGTGGCTCAGTGGATTGCGCGCGGGCCTGCGAACCAGACAGTCGAGGTTCGGTTCCCAGTCAGGGCACATGCCGGGGCTGCGGGCCGGTTCCCTGCAGGCCAGTTCCCAGCAGGGGACGCATGAGGGGCAACCGTACATTGATGTTTCTCTCCCTCTCTCCTTCCCTTCCCCTCTAAAGATAAATAAATAAAATCTTTAAAAAAAAAACAAAAAAAAACATAACTCTCCAAGGGATACTAATAAGAAAATACAAGAATACTTCATATAACCTAAATACAACAAACAGAGATATATTTTTTCTAAGTAATTTTACTTGAAATAACCAAAAACTGGAATAGGTAACTACATAAACACATTGTGGTATAATCATACCCAGCCAGGTAGGTAAAAAGAAGTTAACTACTCCCTCAGCCGGGTAGCTCACTTGGTTAGGGCAGTATCCCAATACACCAAGGTTGCGGATTCTATTTCAGCTCAAGGCATACAAGAATCAACCACTGAATGCATGAACAAGTGAAACCACAAAACAACGTGTCTCTCTCTCTCTCTCTCTTCTCCCTCCCCTCCAAAAGTCAATAAATAAAAAAATTTTTTTAAAGTTAACTACTGAGATATGCCAAAGCATAAATAAATCTCAAAAAAATGTCATGAGAAGGCAAAAGAAACCACAGATAAAAGAGTTCACATGAAACTCAAGACAAATATATGATGAGACAGCAGATCACTGGTTTCCTGGGAGCTAGGGTTTGTGGGAAGTGGGGAAGGAGGCCTGATCTGGATGAGGAAAAAAGGGAATTTTCAGGGGTGACAGAAACACTCTATATCTTCACTTTGGTGGTACTGTTGTGGGTGTATGCATCTGTCAAAATGTATACATATATTTAAGTTTTATTATACATAAGCTAAACCTCAAAGTTGATTTAAAAAAATAAAGAAGCAACAATAATCTAGGAAACTAGTAATCAGATGAAATAACACTGGGGGAGGGAGGATATGCAACCAAAATTCGACACGCAATCATGATAAAAATTCTCCATCTAGAAAACAATTTCTTCAACCAAAATGGGGCATCTACAAAAATGTACCAGTAATATTAATTATACTTAATGGTGGGATACTAAATGTTTCCCTAAACAGAAACAAGGTAAGAATGTCCATGTCCACTCTCACTCTGTAAGCATGATCACATTTCAATGGAGTCCTCAATAGAATTCAGCAGTACTCAACTATATTTTGCTGATAAATTTGCTTTCTCTTCCTCTGAAAGACCATTTCATTCCTTCAGTTCCATTTTTTCTTCAAATCTCTTAAATCCCTGTACCTGGCCCACACTGAGATAATAGCTTCATCTCATATTTTATTTCTCATGAGGTAAATCAATCATACAAACTTTCATCTTCCTACCATTAAATCTCTCAAGAAGAGTGAGACCTTATTCTGGCCATCACTCAAAGGAGGCCAATTTATCTGTTAGAGGCCAGCTTAATACTCAGCCAAAACTTGGAGTATAAATACAGGTCTTAACCTAGACACTCTAGGTAACTGATAATCATCTACCAACAAATGCTATAATCAAATACACTAATCCTACAACAAAATGTTAAAAAGTCATCCTGTCACGTATCTGTCATAAAGCCACAGCAAGAAAACAAAGATAATTAATCCCCAACCTTTAGTTCTCCATCTTTGGGGATGGTTTTTACCATTAAATATATATCTATATATATGACCAATTACACCTGGTTTCTAACCAACAAATATATCAAATAGGAAAAGTAAAGAAAAACACAAAATACACATGCAATTTGCATAGTATTTGTTCCTTACCTGCTGGTGCCGGGTGCTGGGAAAGGTGTACTGAACAGAGTGGGAAGGATAACGACTTTGTTCTGTGCTGAATGCTCCTTGGTTGGGAGGATAACCTGAACTTGACATTATCAGTAAAGAAGTCCTCACCAGGCTGTGAGATCAAGTCCAACAAACAATCATGTTTCTAGAAAACCACCTAAACAAAATAGGAAAAAATAGAACTGATAAGAACTAAAGCACTAGGTATACTTCTAATAAATTATAACTATAGCTACATAAATAAAATGACTATTGCCAATAAAATGTTTCTCTCATGTGTTTACTTAATAGAAGTTATTTACTTTTAAAGAATATTAACAGATCTTTCCCTTTACACTGAAAAACGGTTCTTTAATATATCACAAATATCAGAGGCTATATGAAGTTGTTAACACTTAGGACCTGGCACATTAGGAACTGCTCAGTAATTGTCTTTCTATAAAAGTCTGAGAAACAAAGATTATATGGTACAAAAATAAAAATCTATGACTGTAAATTTGCGTTTGTGAAAAAGTCAACTGTTGAAAGGATTCAAGAGTATTTA